GGGAAGAAAGAGACAGAAAAGACAGAAGCAGAGTTCAGAAAAATGTTTTCTCAAGAATGGGGAGATTTATCTGTTTGTAGGTAGAAGCAAATAGAGAGGAAAGGGTTGCGGATTCTGAAAGAAGGTTTCAGAAGCTGATGGAGGAGGGTCAGAGCAAGAGCTGAGGGCTGGAGAGTGCAGATGGAGAGGCTGTCCTTGGTGAAAAGAGAGAGAGGATGTAGGCAGACACAGAGAGATGCTGGCGTGGTGATGGGTGGTGACGTGTCTCCCTAGTGTCTCCTTATGTGGACTCTTCTCCATGTTTACCCATCTTCCCCTCCATCCCCTTTTTTATCTTGCACATGTCCAGTCCTAGATTTCCCACTTTCTGGCTCTCTTGACAAAGGTGAGGGTGGTCTTTGCCTGGACTCACGACCACCTGGAGATCTGTGCTGAGGGTGAAGAGGACTGCAGGGAGCAAGAGGCCACCAAACTCCATGTTGCTTGTTTAAGACTTCATTGGTGATAATGCAGCAAAGCCAGAGGAGCTGAGAGGTGTACCCTCCTGGACAGGGAACCCGGCCAGAGGCCAAGACCAGCATCAGCATGTAGGAACCTTGAATCTGGGGCTCTGCCAAGCAACTGACTTTGCTGAAAAAACACAGAGCCCGTGTGGGGTTTGGCAGTGCTTATTTTTCAGACAAGTTCTTTGAGACAACGGGAATATCTCCTTAGTGTAATAAAGAAATCTGTCAGATTGAAAGACAGAGAGCAAGAATGGGAAAAGTCGATATAGATAAAAAGGAGGACAGGTAACTTCAGAACATCTGTGCGGAAGGTGCTTTATTTACTAAGCATCACAAATGAGAAACAACAAGATTAAATAGGTTGTTCAAGGTCACAGAGCTACTAAATGAGATTTGATGGGTAGTCAAGTGGTCTTTAGTCTTATCTGAAGTAAGACTAAGGTAAAGAGAAGGCATTCATATATTACTTCTACAATTAAAAATTAACAGAAGGCAGCAAAACCCCTAAAATGTGGAATACAGATTGGAGAGTTGCAAGACTGGAGTCAGGAAAAGCAGTTAGGAGGGCTTATGAAACACATCATGTTTCAGGGGTCTGGCACCTTTCATCCAATCTGCCCCACCCAATCATATCCCACTGAATCCCTCTAAACTATCTGAAATTCTTTTTTACCCCACAGGACTTGAGAATCCACTAGTTGGTGACACTTGGTGCTGGGAGGGAGATGGGCAGACCTGTCCCTGGATGCCAGGCACTCTTTCTTCAGGCTGGGTACCATTGAAAGGCATTTAGTCCCTCCTCCTACCTTAACAAATTCAGAAGAAATAAAATTATGACCCTTCTTGTGTAATTAGTCCAAAAAAGAGCAGAGTAATTGAGTGTACACAAGCTCTAGTTTTTTCCTCTGTCCCAGCTGCCTTGTATGGAATGTACCACCATTGAGGTCAATTTGCCTCAAACTTGACTATATCTGGGGAACTAGGTCATTAGCAAGATGAGATAAAACCCAGATGTTCATTCCAATAAGCTACGTGGTTGAAAATCAGTACAAATTCCGTCTCCTTCCAGTTTCTCTTATTTTTTGACTCTTCTCTTCACCTTTCTAACCCTCTGGCCAATACCCTAAAGACCCTAACTCTGATCTCTTTTAACAGCACCTGCTGGTGAAATCCCACTGTTGGAGGCACCTAACTATCCACCTTCTCCTTCCCTGCACCTGAGTACCACCCAGTAGGGTCGGATTCCACCGTAAATTCATGGTCAACAGCTTTGTTGAGGACGTCAGCACTGCCCTGCAATTTCACTACAATTTCAACATAAGCTCCCTCTCTTCATAAGGACTGTTGTGAACCTTGTCCATTCTCCTCTAACCTCAATCTCCTTCAGTCCCTCACACTCAGCAGATGACCTTGTCTCCTGCTTTACAGAGAAAGCATTTAAACCACTGATTTAATTTCTGTAATAGATATAGAGCCATTCAGGTCATCCACGTTTTCTTGAGTTATCTTTGGTAGGTTATCAACCTGGGTCAAACTGGGAGAAAGACATCACACAAGAATCTGAACGGGGTAGGTTTAAAATAAAGAGTGGCTAACTACAACAGGGGATTAGAGTAACTAGGGATTGACTAGTAAGGAATAAAGGGAATTCTAGAGAGTATCAGAGTGGCAGATAGAATGAACAGCCACTAACCCTAGGACTGAAATACAGTGCCCTAGGACAAGCCCGCTCACCCCACCCCTTGCCCCCATGGCTGAGATCCACACCTTGATGGAGAAGAAATGGTCAGGTTCATGGAATGGTAGTCACTTTGGTGCTGCATCAGCAGAACTTGCCAGAAATCCACCCTCTAGGGAGCCAGGGAAAGCTGTTCACCAGGAAGTGTCTCAGCAGAGGCACTTTGCTACAAAGCTGCCCAAGAGGGGTGTCAGGGAAGATCCTGGCTGCTGGGTGCTACTGGGTGCAGAGCACTGCAGGAGCTGAGCCCTGGAGGAACCACCCGCATTGCAGGGGTAGGAGGCACTCTGCTCCCAAACCATGGGGTGGGGGCAGAGGTTGGAGGAAGCTGCTGGCCCTTGAGTGCTGCTGGCCACCATGCAGGGCAGGAGCTGAGCACTAGAGAAGCCACAAGCACTGCAGGAGCTGAGCACTGCCACAGCTGCAGGTGCTGCAGGAAGCAAACTCTTCCTCCTGAAACGCCTCTCCAGGGCCCTCTACTGACAAAGTTCCTGTGCTGGCTGGCAAAGAAAAATTACAAGGGCCTAGTTCTATTTTCACAAGACAGCCTAAAAGAGTGAATTTGGAGCTAAGAGGCAAAATCAATAACTGGCACAGATAGCTTTTGTGTTTTCAGGCATTTGGGCATTTCACTGAAGTTGTCAAATTTATCGCAAGGATAATACAGTGAGTTCCTGTATACCTCTCGTCTGGTTTCCTACTGTTAATATTGCACATAACCATGTTACATCTGTCAAAACTAAGAAATCAATATTGGTTTTTACTATTAAACAAAAGACCAGAATTTATTTGACTCTCACCAATTTTTCCACTAATTTCCTTTTTCTGTTCCAAGATCCATCCTGGAGACCACATTGTATTTATTTGTTATGACTCATTACTCTCCTCTGGTATGTGACATTGCTTTAGTCTCCTTTGGTCCAATATTTTGTAGAATGCCTCTCAATTAGTATTTTTCTGATGGTTTCTCATGATTGTACTGGTATGATGAGTTTTGAGGAAGATACTGCAATCAGGAGACAGTGTTCTGGGGCCAGGAGTCGCTGGCGAGTTTCCATACTCAAGTGGCTTTGCAAGCGTCAGACCAGAACTGAGAAGTCAGAATGGAGGAAGATAAGGGGTTTATTCATGTTCAAGGAGGGACATTCCTGGAAATACCTGGGAAGATGGGGAGGCAGAGGAGGAGTGGAGTCTCTGCAGAGGAACCATCAGCAAGCAAAGTGCAGTTCTGCATAGTGCTGCAGGGCCTGCAGACTGCACAGCACCAGGGGGCGCTATTCCCCTGGACTACACTGTGAGGAGTCGCCTCTGGAGTCATGCAATGCAGCAACCCTGAAAATGTGGGCCTAAATGCTAATGTGCCTTCATTCCCCAACCCGGGCTGAAGTTGTGCGGCTGTGCTATATGTTGTAGTAAGAAAGGGAAGGAGAACTAACCCACGGTCCTAGGGCATCAAGCTCCAAGCTTAGATGCCAAATTCAGGGAGGAGAAGAGAGATGGAATACACTTGAGCTTGCACAGCTTAACAAACCACCCATGAGTCCCAGGTGAGCCTGCTCCAATCACTAGCTAATGACCTCCACACCAGGACCAAATTCTTATAGAATTTACTTAAAGCTCCCTGTCTACATCTCAAGTTTTCAGAATGACACACATAAAGGACAGACAGTGAACTGATGCAGCTTATTCACTACCTGGCCTCTGTTGCTTCCTTGACATGAACTTGCAAAACATCCAACCCCGGAACAAGGGAGGAATCAGTACCTACAGTTTAGGTGTCTGTCCTTAAGCCTCTGGCATTCTTGGGACATCCTTGGTGAAGGAGTGAACAGAGCTGCCTTCCAATCTTTGACTCATGGTCAATTCCATGTCCTGCAGTGGGACCTGGAGCCAGGGCTGAGTAGTAGAGAGATCTGATCTCAGATCTTCGCTAATGCACTTCATGGCTGTGACCATGCAAAGGTACACCTTATGAGAGCCTAGCTAGCTAAATATTGTTTCCTTTGCACTCTAAATGAAATGATATTCTCAGTTAAAGTATTCTCAACTCTCTCTGCTATGGCCTATTGACTTCCTTCTCCAGAGCATTGACTCTACAGAACTCCAAGTAATTATATGGTCTACTGATCTGTAGATCCTAAAGTCATCCATGTTGGAGTGTGACAGGTTTCCACCTTCTTCTGCTGAAGAGGAAAGATTCTGGCATAAGGAAGTATTGAAGTTGCGGCTCGAGTCTGAGGGTAGTGTGGAGGCAGGATTCCTTTTTTTTTCAGGGGACCTCAGTCTTTTTCTTTAAAAGCCTTCCACCGAATGGCCAGTACATGTTATTATATCTGCTTTACTCAAAGTTTACTGATTTATTCTGACCAGATGAGTTACATAATAAGAACACAGCAGACAGTCCCACACCCTAGGGGGAACTGTATTGCTAATGGTTGTGCAGAGAGAAGGGTTGTCATTGTCCTTGGCTGAGGAAGGAGACCCAAATGAATGAGTGCAGGTGGCCCAGGCTGGAGGATGTCAGTAAGAAAGGACTGGAGGGCAGGTTATCTTTTTTGCCCTCTTGGCATCTCCGCCACCTGGAGTAAGAGCCCTGCCCACATGGTAATCAGTTCTTATGTCCTTCCTAAGATGAATCTGATTGTAGGAACTCCTGCACACACCTTGTATGGTTACACTGATCCAGAATGGAGAGGGCTAAACAAGAGTTTATTCAGAATAAAGCTTCTATAAAAGGAAACACCCTGCAATGCTACCTGAAATCCTCAGAAATCAAACATACATAGTCAATTCCCTTCCATGGCTGTGATTCCAGGATTAGAGAATGGCCAGGAAAGGACCATGGATGAGCTTCCCCTTATCCTGGGCACACTGACTTCAGAGGAATGTTCTGGGAGGAGTCACTGGGTAAAGTAGGAGGGATCTCATCAATCACTCACTGCCACCAGAGGTGCTGTTCTAAGCACAAATTTCGTCATCCCACTTCCCGGGCTTGACTGTCCCCAGTGCATTCCTATCCATCTTGCTGGGCATGACAATGAAGGCCCTCCATAATTGGCCATGGATCTCCCTTTAAAGCCTCCTCCAGTGCCACTACCCCAGCACCCCATCTCCTCGCATGCTCCAGCCCCCAGCCCTTCCCATCCCAAGGCTGTGCACACTGGATGGTTCACCTGGCTCCCCCTCCACCCTCTGATCTCAGCTTCACACCTCAGGTTCTAGCTCTCACAGTTCATTCCACCTAAACATTTTCCCAATAGCCCGGGCAAGAGCTAATAACTCCCTTTTGTGCTCCTGCAGAACTTTGCACAAATCTCTACTGTAGCATCAGGCAGGTGATATTGTAATTATTTATACAGGTCTGTCTTGCTGAGCTCGTCTGATATGTGGTCTTAGCACCAAGCACAGTGCCTTGGTGTTGACCAGCAGTCAATAAATGCTTACTTACTCTATTCTTTTGCTCCTCATATTTTATCCCCACCAGGCAGAAGGAACCTATCTCAAGGATTTTTGTTCAGTGTTTTGAAGTGTGAAAAGCCCTGAGACAACTTGATCCTGGGAATCCAGGAGCATGCTTGTGTGTCTCAGCTGAGCAGCTGGAAGCAGCTGCCTCCTTCCCTGGGATGAGGATTCTTTATTCTTTCCCATGTCTCATGTTAGGTAGGAGAATTCCAGTTCTCTTGCCATTTTCAACTAACCCCACATCCCTGAGATTCATGCAGACTTCTGTGTGGAGAGGGCAGGTGGGTGTTCCTTTTGCCTGAGAAGATGAGAGGGTGCCTGTCCTCTATTCACCAGCAGGTCATCAGGTTCCTCACACTCACTTCTTGGACAGTGACCCTGCAGTGCAGCCCACACCATTGCCACAGCATTTCTGACTCATGGGATGTTCGTTATCCTCAGTTCTTATTACAAACCAAGCCCCACAGGTTCTGTGTAGCCCTCTTGGGGAGATCTCAATCTTGGTGTCCCTGTAACCCATGACAATTATTCTAGAGTCAAGGCTCAAAGAAACCAATACCTCCTCATGGGAGGAGATCCCCATTCTGTCCCCAACTATTGCAATTGTAAGCAAACCCGCTCAACCTATGTAGAGGCTTAGAAAGAGAACATCCATATGGACCTAAGGAACTGAAACTCATAATTCAAAATCTTTCACTATCTGCTGTAGAGATACTGCCTAATTCTGTGGGATTCCCATGGACAAAACAGTCCTAGGTCAAAGGCTGGGTTTCCTTTATTAATCTCCACAAAGGCTGGCTGCTGGAAAGCCCTCAGCAGAGTGACCTGTTGTACCAAGTCTACAAGCCCAGATCCTCCATCCCCAAAGTGAGGAGAGCTGCCAGGATGAAGGTGGTGCCAAGCCTCCTGTGGGCAGGCAGTGTGATGCACACACAGAAACCAGCCTGGTTATCACCTTCCATCACAAGGGAATGCAGCTGGGCTGGGCTGTGGATAGGAATGATATTGAATAACTTCTATTATCCACATGGTAATTTGGCTCCTTTATTCTGTTTCACTGTGGAGGGAGAATTTTCTGTCTGGTTCAGATGGCTTTTTGGAGAAATAAAAATACAAATTGACTTATACTTGGAAAAACTTCTCAGCTAATTTCCTCATCAGTTTACTGTCTCTGACACAAAATTTCCTAGTACCTTTGAGAATTGTGTTCAAGGAATTTCTCATGAGTGTCAAAAGTGAGGGTCTAAGCTATACAGTATCATGACCCCCAAAGAGCCTGCTGCAGTTTTACCAATGATACACACACACTTGGATTTTCCATTTCAAGTTCCTAGGATGGCTCACTCACCATTTCCTTTGCCCTAATTAATATGCTTACATAATTAGGGATATAGCCTTGGTTCTTAGTCTACCTTTGCAGATTTGAAGGGTACTTTTTGAGTAGAAGGTAATCAAACCTAAGAACTAATGAATTAGATATTCTACTTGTCCTTACACAGAGAGCTCTGTTAATCCTGGATTAAAATAGAAAGTGCTGACTTTCTATTATAGAGGGTTAAAGAAAGAGAAAATAAATAAATATTATTGAAAATAAGATTCTCTATAAGAATGAAAAATATGTGCATTACATTTTAGCAGTATGAAAAAAAAACATAGATAGAAGACGCCATTTTTTATTTTGCAAATAGTTAGGAGGCTTCCTCCAACACCCAGTCCAAGTTCTCCTGGCCTTAAGCAGGCATCTCCATGGGGCCGCATTGTTGCCAGGTGGGGTGAACCAGAGCTTTAGTTGTGAGGAGCCAGAGCATTGGAGGCCACCTGTGGGAGTTGCTTTGGTCTTCCATTAACTTCTACCTTGACTTGCGGTGATCTAAAAAGGATTCCAGGGATGCGTCTGGGTTCCATCCATTTTGTCCCAGTCCCCAGAGTGACCAGCAACACTTTTTCCGAACGGTCTCTCCTTCCTTCTCCTATTCCTAATGTGTCACATATCTTCAAACCCAAGTTTCCCAGACTTAACTGTCCAGGAGAGAGGAAGAGGTCATATTCTGTTAATACCCACAACTGACTGCCTCACCGCTCCTATCTCACACCTATTTGTTCCCACCCCATCTCCCTAGTCTTGCCCACATATTTCTGGGAGTCCCCAAAGTGTCCACACGTGCTCACAGACAAGCTCACACATGTCCTTCTCGTATGTCCTCTGTGGTGTGGTCTGCTCTCTGCAAAGCCACCCAAACCTGGAGGCCCACCACTGCCCCCTTTGTCAGTGTCCTCAGGGACACGGTGCCCTCTGCAGCAGGGCACTCTCTCCAGGTGATCTCAAAGCTAAGAGTCCATCCAGGTGCCAAGATGGTGCCATGTTCCCATTTGTCCTCACACCAATGGTCACACCATGTTCTGCACAGCAATGGGGAGAATGCCTCTCACTTACAAGGCTCAGAAGTCCTGTGAGGGATTGGCTAGAGAAGACAGGTAGAAAGACTGATCTCCTATCTCTCCCGCCTCTGGCTCTGAATGGGGACCCCAGACTTCCTGGCCGGTTCTCCCCACCTGATTCATGGGACCTAACTCACAGGAGAGCACAGCTGGGGCTTGTCAGACCAGGCAGCCAGGTGGCTCTGCCTGGTGTGTTTGACCTTGAGAGAGTGAGGAGCAGCCAGGGGCAGGCTCACCCTGAGGGAAAGAGAGACTGAAGTAGACGATTTCAGCCCAGTAACAAGGTTGTCGTTGCCAGAGTGGATGGGGCTCCAGCTGGCTTGGGGACTGTCCCCTGGATTTGTCCCCAGTCCCTATAGATGATGCATGAGCCAGTGGGGCCATGGGGCTGCAAGGAAAACACACATGAAACACTGAGCCTCTGGTTCTCTTTTCTCCCGTCCATCCTCCTGAGATTAATGAGCTGTTACCTGTGACGTCTCAGATCTCAGGGAGTCTCTAGTTCCACCCTTAGAGAAGAGGGCCATGAGGAGACACCCAATCCACGCTGTTGTTGGAAGCCTCAGTTCTGTGTGAGTGAAGCACGGCTGAGAAAGGCTGATGTCTCTCACCCCTACCGAGCTGGGCCACAGTGTGTATCTGGAAGCTGAAGTCTTTGGGCAGCTGGCCACGCTTAACAAACACTTGTTTGCTCCACTTACCCAAACAAGCTGTTTGTGCAACAGCAACAGCCTTCCCCATTCAGCAGACCAGACCACTAAAGACAAAAGCCTGCCACACGAGCAAATGAGAGAAAGTGGAGTGAGGAGACAGAACTCACATTTAGTTCCATGCCCGGAACTTCTCCATGCTGTTATGAGAGGTTCGGGGGATTCGATTGGAGATGTAAAAGAAACTTTCCACTCCAAATAAATGGACTGAAGGTATATTTTATTATCTAGAGGAGAGTAAAGGCGATAGTCCGCAAACAGATCCGAATAGGTCAAATATTGAGAGGGAAAAGCATCAGCTCGACTGGAAAGGGAAAACATCCACATGGACTGAAGGGAAATGACACAAATCAACCGGAAAGAGAAACACCAGGTTGACTGAAAAGAGAACACGTCAGATCGGTTACTCACAACATCCACGCCCCACTGCCGGGGAGAGTTCCTTCAATTGACAGGGCTGGGCAAGAATCACACGTCCCGGGCGAGGCGTCCCTTCCACAGGTGGAACTCTCATCAGGCCTCGGTTTCCAGCAGTTTATATAAGCAGTTACAGAGCTTTGCAGAGCAAGCATTTAGTGTTCCCATGCACAAATGATTATCAGTGGCGTACGTGCAGTGACCCCCGTGGCTATCGCCCCAGCCCAGCACAGATGGCCAGTCCGTCCCATGCTATGACACCCAAAGAGCCCTGAAGTGTTATAATTTGCAACTCTCTCCATGGAAGAAGGGCCAGTTCCC